CAACTTTAATCGGCCCGTCTCTTGCGCTGAGGTCGTTGGTGAGTCGAAGTTCAAGGCGCGTCTTGCAGTGATGCGTTTCTTTTCCGAGCATATTTGCTGGAGTGAGGTCATCTCCCTGTGCGGTCTCGTCAATGGCTACCGGAGGATCTTCAGTCACGCCTGCCATGGATGTATTTGAGTATTCCCACAGACGGCGCCAATTGTGGGGAATAGGTTGGAAATACTCTTCGGATCCTGGGAGACGCTAGTGATCCTCAGCTAGTCACCTGAAAAGATACAAAGCACTCCAGTCGGGGATGCCGGAATTTAGTCACTCCGACGGACAAGTTAGTTCAGACGCTCAGGATAGCCTATTTACCAGTTTTGTGAAGTGATTCTTACATGCCTTTCTATAACCGTTGTTCCTGTATTTATACCTGTTCTTCTTGATCCTCGGGGCCAGGGCCTACTTTTTAATCATTGTCCTTTCCTTTATTCGGCCCTAAGTACTTATACTTTATTCGGCACATATATTCTATTCGGCTCCCCGCTCTCGTAGGATATAGCCGATTAATATCAGTCTTCCAAAGATACCATCTGATCTTTCCATTATTCGGCCCCCACAATGTTCATATTCAATACCATATATATGTTTACCTATGGAAAAATGTGAGATCAGTGGCTTTCGAAGATCCATCTCTACACAAACTCACACATATTTTCCTCATGCTGCCATTGCTGTGTTGATATCTATCTTCAGAGAGACACCCAACACTTTTGCTATATGAAATAAAGCCTTCTCATTATTATACTATATTGGTAGAGTTGGAAACCGCACCCAAATCGCAATAGTATCCTCTTTGGCATCATCAGATTTGAAATCTTGTTGCCACTTTCTTACCGTCACATAGTGATCCATCACAATCCAAGGACCACCAGTGAAAACTTTCGTGTAATCATTGATCATATCAAACTTGACTATGAAAAAACCATTACCTATGTCAAGAGCTTCAAAATCAGCTTGGAAGCCCCAAATTTTTGTCATTTTGGTCATGAAAAGTTTGTAACCTATAATTTTCCCCAAAAGTCACACGATTAAGTACTTCCTCCATGGTTCTCTGATTTTCTTCAGAAGGGCCAAAGGAATTTTTACTTTGGGAATGTCGTCTCTATCCTTTTCCATTGATTCTTCTTCATTTGCTGGGTTTGGTTCAGTAGGAGCTTTCTCCTCATCAGATGACATATCTTCTAAATCACAATCAAAAAAAAATTCATTTTTGGATTCATTGAATCTCGATCAGAAGAGTGCTTGTTTCAAAGATCTGGAGGTTCTTTTGTTTTCCTCCATAATTTCCATCTGGGCCGTGCCGGCACTATCCTTGGTCCCATTAGGGTTTTCTACTGTCGATAACTCAGCTTCATTGTTAATTTGTCCTGAAATTGGGGTTGCGGACAAGGATTCACTCATGGGTTCATCATCTTGATCAACGGTGCTCTTTATTTTCTTTGTACTCTGGATGAGATGGTCTCTCTCTTCCGTAAAGCAGCCATGATCATCCCGTTGGTCCTTCGGCCTCGAAGCTTCTGTAACGGTCATATTGATGGTAAGGCTTCAATCTTTCAATTACTCCTACTACTTGTACTTGTTGATTTTCCATTTTTGTTTAATTTATTCAAAATTGACTTCGCAACTAGTTCATACTCCCACGTGATGACGAGTAACATTATAGCTTGACCAACTTAAGACAAAACTATCATGAGAGACAAGACAAGACAAGGCATAGAATAAAAAATGATACATAGACCAAACACAAAAAGCCATTTAGGTGCTGTTTGGGAAGGGCTCATCGGCTATATGAGCCACATACGACAACACAGGCTCATTTAGCCACATGTCTGATGGTATGTTGATTAACTGGTAACTCTTCCAATTGATGGTATGTCATTGTATTGATGGTCTGAACTGATTTTATTTTTTTCTACGTTTTTCCTTCCCCCACTTCAGATCGCAGTGTATTTTGGCCTGTATTGATCGTATGTCGTTGTAGAAAATTTTTTATGGTCTGATGGTCTGATGGTATGTTGATTAACTGGTAACTCTTCCAATTGATGGTATGTCATTGTATTGATGGTCTGAACTGATTTTATTTTTTTCTACGTTTTTCCTTCCCCCACTTCAGATCGCAGTGTATTTTGGCCTGTATTGATCGTATGTCGTTGTAGAAAATTTTTTATGGTCTGATGGTCTGATGGTATGTTGATTAACTGGTAACTCTTCCAATTGATGGTATGTCATTGTATTGATGGTCTGAACTGATTTTATTTTTTTCTACGTTTTTCCTTCCCCCACTTCAGATCGCAGTGTATTTTGGCCTGTATTGATCGTATGTCGTTGTAGAAAATTTTTTATGGTCAGATGGTATGTTGATTAACTGGTAACTCTTCCAATTGATGGTATGTCATTGTATTGATGGTCTGAACTGATTTTATTTTTTTCTACGTTTTTTCTCCCCAAAATCTGTTCTTCATTCATACATATTATAAAATTTGATTTATATTTTCACCAAGTAAATAAATACTTACAATTTCATATTTTTCTGATAAGTACAAAAATTAATTAACGAACTCAAAAAAATTAAAATTACTATACATTTTTCTGTATATTAACAACAAAATTTAATGAATAAATAGTAAGAAAAAAAATTCCTATAAATAAATATTTGTTCTTTATTAATTAACATTTTTCTGTAAGAAAATTAGTTTTTTTCCAGATTATGTTCTTCATGAATAGACTGACATTGTAATTTAGAATATTTATTTACTTATATTGGTTATTTAAAATTACATTTTTGAATTTTCAGATAAATAAATAGTAACAAAAAAAATTTCGTATAAATAAATATTTGTTCTTTATTAATTAACACTTTTCTGTACGTAAATTAGTTTTTGTTCCAGATTCTGTTCTTCATGAATAGACTGACATTGTAATTTAGAATATTTATTTAATGAAATATGTTATTTAAAATATTACATTTTTGAATTTTCAGATTATGTTCTTCATGAATAAAGACTCACATTCTAATTTACATTTTTTAAATTATATTGGTTATCAAATTAATTTCATTTTGCTATTAATCTGTTGTCTTTGAAGCTCATCTGCCAATCCTAAAGTCTGCTCTAAGGGCATTTCTTCCTTCTGAAAGACAGTGCTCCATATAGCCCACAAATAGCTATTGAACGAACCATTATCAAATTAATTATATTGGTTATCAAATTAATTTCATTTTGCTATTAATCTGTTGTCTTTGAAGCTCATCTGCCAATCCTAAAGTCTGCTCTAAGGGCATTTCTTCCTTCTGAAAGACAGTGCTCCATATAGCCCACAAATAGCTATTGAACGAACCATTATCAAATTAATTATATTGGTTATCAAATTAATTTCATTTTGCTATTAATCTGTTGTCTTTGAAGCTCATCTGCCAATCCTAAAGTCTGCTCTAAGGGCATTTCTTCCTTCTGAAAGACAGTGCTCCATATAGCCCACAAATAGCTATTGAACGAACCATTATCAAATTAATTATATTGGTTATCAAATTAATTTCATTTTGCTATTAATCTGTTGTCTTTGAAGCTCATCTGCCAATCCTAAAGTCTGCTCTAAGGGCATTTCTTCCTTCTGAAAGACAGTGCTCCATATAGCCCACAAATAGCTATTGAACGAACCATTATCAAATTAATTATATTGGTTATCAAATTAATTTCATTTTGCTATTAATCTGTTGTCTTTGAAGCTCATCTGCCAATCCTAAAAAAATTTAATATACCCATTCATAAATTGTAATAATAATGAAATCACGAGTTCATAAATTGTAATAATTGGAAAAATGAAATCACGAGTTCCGGGTACGAAATATTTTTACCAAACAAGTATGCCCTTTTTCCATGTGCATGTCAATTGTGGTATACTTTGATCTCCAATGTTAAAAATAAGTACAATCTTGCATGTTATACATATTTTTTTAGTATAGTCAAACACTTGAGGCAACCAACTGAAAATAATTACAATTACATATTTTACAACTCTAGTAATAATAATGTGCATAATTACAATAACATATGTACGTCGGTAACTACTCCTACCAATGTACTACTGATTGGAGATGCACAATACCCTTATCATAATTAAGTGTCCATGATCAGAATCAAAAAGTTTTATTTTGTTCAGATTTGTACGTTTCGTTGTTCATTCATGTACATTTAAAAACAATTACGCTATTGTTTGTAAATCGTAGCATGGCTTCATTTACATCTACTGCAACTTCCAGTACATGGCCACGAATGTGTGCCTGTGGACATGGACCCTGTGTTGTTAAGATTTCCAGGTCCACCAAAAATCCAAGGCGTCCCTACTTTGCATGCCGGGCCCTTTGGTGAGTGACCCATTCTTTTAGGTCATAACTGTCCTTCGTTAACAACCCATGAAACTAATAGTTCCATAATTTGCACTCATCAGCCCTGTGTCAGTTGGATTGGTTGGTGCGATGAACCTAGGCGAGAAAACCAAGACTATGCGTCACCCAGGGATGAATTTGTCATGCAGTTGCGGGCTGATGTCATAGACATTCAACAATCCTTCCGTGTCCTCAAGACCATCGTGTATGTGCTATGCATTGTCGTTGTCGTTTTGTTGTTCTGTATGTAAGCAACGTTAAAAAATGTTTCAGTATGTACAAACACGTTACTATGTTTGTTGTTTATTGGTAGTATGTAAAATAGTATGTACGAACACGTTACTATGTTGGTAGTTTCGAAACGGTAGACGTATTAATGACTATCATAACTATGTGCAATACTAACTTCTATGGAACCTGTGGTAGTATAAAATTAATGTGCAATGGTTAACTGCTGCGTTATTTAGCATCCTATCTCTCTGTTTCTGTGTTATTAATGTGTAATGGCTTATGAGTTTGTATATAACAACCGTAAGTGTGATGGTAATCTTTTGTAACCGAACATTAGTAATGGCTTCCCTACGTACTTCTCCGCGTACCCAATCCAAAAGCAAAGGCGTTGTCACTGACAAGTCAAGCAGTCTTGAAGATACACACAATCATTTAAGCCACAAGGCCACATGGGACAGTGCCTCAACCCGAGTTTTCCTGCAATTGATTGCAAATGAGATAACTAAAGGCAATCACCCATTCCTAGTCCTCAGCCAAGTAGGGTACAAGTCCTTGGCAAGAAAATTTGAGAGAAAAACAGGAAGAAAACATGCACTCAAACAGTTGAAGAATAAGTACATGCGTTTGAAAAAAGAGTGGCAAGCGTGGACAAAGTTGATGGATTCAAGCAAAGGAGTGTCAGGGATAGGGTTTGACTGTGACACCGGTATGTTTCAGGCACCTGAGAAGTGGTGGGACAAAATGGAATCGGTAAGTACATGTACTCTTATTTTTCATATGTGTCATTTACCAGTACATTTTTAAGTTTTGTAGTTAAATTTTTATTAATTATATGAAATGTAACATCATTCTCTTTCATATATCTCTATTTGAACAGATAAACAAGGTGTGTGCCAAGTTTAGGAAAAAAACCTTGGAACATCGTGACTTGATGGAGACCGTCTTCATGGGGGCATCAGCTACTGGGAAGCACCATTGGACCCCGGGCGAGGAACTTCCTGAAGTTGCTGAGGACTCATCTAATTCAGTGCACAGTTTGGGGGCCTAGCCATTTGCTGATCCGATACCCGCAGGAGTACAGGACGTGGATTCAAATTCTTCACTGGAGCATGTTCCGATCGAAAAGGGGAAAAAGAGAAAGACGCCATCAAGCAGTGTTTCAAAGTCTAAGAAGGCAACAAGTGGAGCGTCAGTTATTGCGGAAAGCATGAACACTCTGACAGATGTGGTGCGTATAAAGAATCAGCAGGTTACAGTGAGGCACGTCACAGGCAACGAAACGCTTTTTACTATTTCAGAGTACATGCATCGCCTGACAGGTATTACATCACTGGTTGGTACGCCCTTATTCCACTTCGCCACATCACTTATGGATAACGCCGATTTACGGGAGGTGATGATGTGCCAGCCTGATGACGACTCTATCATAGGGTGGCTTACCCAGAAGCAGCTCCAGTGCACTACATCGGCGTCTTTTGCAAATCTGTTCGGGCCTCGCCGGATGTGATGTAACGCTGTTACGAGTGTTGAATATGCCTTTGCTTCTCTTGCATTCTATAAAATTTTACTTATGTTTTTTGTTGGCACTGTATTAAAATAGGATGGTTGTGTGTCCATTTTTTTTTATGTTTCCTTCGTTTATGTTTTTTCTTGCAATGTATGGTTTCCAAAACTTTTAGGTATGGATATGAATGAGACATGACTGGGATGCTGTTATGAAATAGGATGGTTGTGTGTGCACGCTTTGTGAGACATGAATGGGATGCTTCTGTTCAAAGTTTCTGTATGGATATTTTGTAGAATTGGGTAGAACGGATTTCCTTGCTAGCTTTGTGTATGTTTATATTTTCCAAAGTACGATGTTAGTTTCATATCTTCTGTTCAACTTTTGTGGTTGTCACCACCATGGCCGCCCTGTATCACAAAAGTTTAGCAGGTTCACAATTTTTCGATTTTTCATATCATCATGCATTAAAAAATACATTTGTGACGGCAGTCCGTAAATTGGGTTGTGAACATATTGAATTTTTAGTATTGCAAATTTTGAAATTAATTGACTCGATGAAGGGGAAGCGAACTGATTGAAACAGTGCCACTCTTGTAGGTTTCGCATCAACGAAGATGTAATGAATCCCTGGGATGGAAGTGACAATGACGGAATAATGGAAATGCTTAATCAAATGGCAGTCCAGGTGCAACAAGAACACAACTGCACATTTCTACAAGCATGCCAGTATGCGACAGAGTGGTACCAAAAACACATGGCTAAAACGCCATGTCGCACTTCTATACTGACCGAGAATGCATGGATATCCGAACTATATGCTGGCCATATGGGCCGATTTGAGGAAAATGTGTCCATGCCGAAGGAAGTTTTTGTCGCCCTGTGTGAAACATTAGTAAATGATTTTGGGTTACAAGTCCCGCAACGTCCGCATGGTTTAGCTGTTGAAGAAAGCGTTGCAATGTTTATCCATGTGTTGAAAGGGAAGCAAAATCGGGAAATCCAAGAACGGTTCCAACATTCGGGGGAGACTGTGTCTCGGCACGTGCATAACATATTAACTTCCATGAAGCAGTTCGCTGTTGTTCATTGCCGGCCCACATACAATCAGCATCGTATACATCCATACGTGCGGTCTAGACGGAAATACCTACCGTTCAAGGTACTACCGAAATACATTCTTCACATATACATGAAGAGTGTCTGTTATTTTGTTTTTATTACTAACTGGACGTGACATATGGAAAAAACAAAACACGCTATATTTTTTTAAGCAACAAAAGAATTGGGTTGTTTGCAGGACTGCATTGGCACAATAGACGGAACACATGTAAGTGCATGGGTTACGAGGCCAGATGCAGCAACATATTTCGGTAGGAAATACTGTCACACGCAAAATATCATGGCCGCAGTCGATTTTGACATGTGTTTCATATTCATTTCGTGCGGATGGGAAGGAAGTATGCATGATAGTCGCATATTCAACGAGATACTAACTAATGACAATGTCTCATTCCCACATCCTGACGAAGATAACACATGCCAATGTTTGTGGATTTAGGGGGTTCTCTGTACAAATTTTAGGTGTCATACATTGTTGTCATGTCTGCAGGCAAATATTATCTTGTCGATTCTGGTTATCCAAACCAGACGGGGTACTTAGCACCATTCAAAGGCCACCATTACCACAAACAAGAATTTCGACGTATTGCACGGAACAGGACGGCAAACACGCCAAGGGAGTTATTTAACAAAGTGCACTCGTCCTTACGCAGTGTGGTGGAACGCACCTTCGGTGCCTGGAAAAATCGATGGGGGTTTATTCGAGACATGCCTCGATATGACTTTGCAAATGTGCAAGTTCAGTTAGTAGGTGCGTCAATGGCATTACATAATTATATACGGCGCAACACAGGTAACCCAACAACTGTTCACCCAATCTGTGACGAGGAAAAGGCTATGACAATAGTAAATGTCATACCAGAAGTTGAACATGACAAGGATGGTTTAATGGTTGGGGATGAGGACCCACATATGGCATTGGTGCGCCTTCACATATGCGACAAATTATGTTACATGCGTAATAACGGGATGTTAGGAAATATATAATAGTCGACCTAATTTCCGTAGGGTTGTAACATTACTAATGACACACGTGGAACAGACTGTATTGAAATATATTATCATGTACAATATGCATGTGTGTACATGGGGATATACCCTCTTCCAGTTGGTGACGTGCCGCACTCTGAAAAACCAAAATACACAAGATCGGAAATGCTTAATCCATTTTTTTTAAATGTAAAATAAAAAATGTGAGTGAATAAGAAAATGACAAAATCGTAAATTTTAAAAAAAAAAAACGAAAAAAATACGCCTCATTCAAAAACATTTAAAAAAAATAACATGAAAACATAAATCATCATTCGCCACGTAATTTACAAAAAAAATGAAACACATAAATAATAAAAACAAGTGCTTCTATACCAATAAAAATAAAGGAAAAGAACTAATTCATGTAAAAATAAAAAAACAAAGACAAAAAAATAAATTTAAAAAAATAAAAAAAATTTAGCAAAATACGCCAAATCGAAACCCGAAATAAAAAAATTAAAACAAAAAAAAAAACAATGAAAGCAAAAAACGCCAAATCCACTTCCAAAATAAAAAATAAAAAAAAGGTTTGAAAAATACACCAAATCCAAACCCAAAAAAAAAAAAAAATTAAGAAAAGCAAAATACGACAAATCGAAACCCAAAATAAAAAAAAAAATTAAAAAAAACAATTGAGCAAAAAACGCCACATCCAAACCCAAATTAAAATGAAGAAATAAATAAATAAATTAAGCAAAATATGGGAAATCCAAACCCAAAATAAAAAATAAAAAAAAAGCCAAAAAGGGTAGTTTGGTAATTTAACAGGATGACACCTCACCAAAAAGTCAAAAAGTCAAAAAAGTCAAAAAGTCCTTCCCAAACCAGACTTTTGAGCCTCAGGCTCATATAACCAAAAAAGTTAAAAAGTCAAAAAGCCAACCCCTTCCCAAACGGAGGCTTAGAGATCTAGCCACAAATACACATAGCCTGTTTTTCTCAATGGATATAAAATGGAGGATAAAACATGATGTAAGATTTAGTTAGAATATATAATAAATAAGATATATGTATTTAATAATACATTTCTCAATTCATGTTTGTTGACTTAATATATAAGACTAGATATATATTATCCATACTTATTTTACAAAATATATTGTGGGATATAAATAAGTAATTTCCAAGATTGCCCTCATAATATATTTTAAATACCTATATTGAAACTAATGCAAATAAGCAAATTAAAAATTCAAATTATTTTTTATTGGAACAAATTAAAGATTCATATTAAATTCAATAATTTTTCCAAACAAAAAAGAAATTATATTATATTAATGTCAACCTGATACTGACCCCCAAAAAAAAATTATATTAAATTCAAAAAATTATATTAAATTAAATTCAATAATATTGTATTATATTATATTAAATTCAAAATTTATATTAAATTATATTCAATTCAATTAAATTCAATAATTATATTATATTAAATTTAAAAATTATATTATATTAGATAGACAAGAGGGTAAATTGGACTTTTTAAATCGTATCCCAACCCAAGGGATATGATATAATGGGGGATGATAGTATTGTATATCCTCCAATTTTGGAGAATATACAATCACATAATATGTTATATCCTCTTTAAAAAAAAATTACAAACATGAGATATGTAGACTCCACAGTATATAATATTCAATCCCATCATTTATATCCTAGAATCAAAGAGGGCATGTGGTGGACAACTTGTTGGGTAATCTTAAGATAAAGATTAGCTAAGCTAATGTTTAAGATTGTGTTTGATTATTGAATTTGAGTAAAATTTTAGAAAGAAAAAGAATATAAAATATGAATAAAATATAGTTAAATTTCATACATTTTCATATAATTTATTACGAGTATCATTTTGATAATTCAAATAATTTATTTCATAAGTCTTTTATGTATATCATTCATGAAAAAAATTAGATCAATTTAATAATTATAATATTTTTATTTTATGCGAACTACGGATTTTTAATTCTTCAATCCGAAACTGAACCGCGGATTCAAAAAACCAATCCAAACCTATCGGATTGGACTGGACTGGATCGGATTACGGATTTCACGGATCACTTGCTCAGCTCTAGTCGGCTAATTTTTTTAGGGACAAATGCAATAAAATAAAATACTACAATTATCCGATCGACTTAATTTTTTTTACGAATTATATACACAAAGGGCCCTGCAAAATAAAAAAATTTACATAATTGAAATGAGACCTATAATGAGCCTCCCAGGCGTGGACAATTCTCTCATATTCAAATTTAAATTTAAGATAAACCAAACCCTTTTTGTCTGTCTGCATTTTATTTTCTTGTATGTCTTTTATTTTTTTCTCTCATATTTCTCCTTTGTAGGAATGATGCTCTTTTCTATGCCCAAAAAACAAAAACACAAAAGTGTTGCTTCACAAGTTTCTAGAATGAAAGGAGCACAGTAAAATTTTAATTAAAATTAAAAATTAAGTGTAATATATTTATAAAAAAATGAAAAATTAAAAACTATTTCGTGAAATGTTTTTCGTTGTCACAAAGAGTTTCTGCATTTTTTTTTGGTCAATGCTTGATATTGTTGGTGCTGTTGGAGTTTTGGATGACATTGGAATTTCAGCTACTATTCTTTTTATGACTTGGAGGTATTCTTTGTTTATTAAAAAAGAAAAACGAGTTGGAAGTATTCTTACCAATCTCGGCTTTCCTTTGATTGTGTCGGTCAGGTTATTACTCCCTCCGTTCCAAAATAATGGTCCCTTTTGGGGAATCTAACTTTTTTTAGTAGTACAATTATTGTACTTTTAAAAAGTTAGTTTTCCAAAATTACCCTTTGATAGTACACTTTTTTGAGAATAATCAACTTGATTTTTT